GGGCCCCGCACCCCGTGCCTGGCGTGCTCGGCCCCCGGACGGCCTCTTGCCAGCCGTTTGAGGAGGCCGTGGGGTGGCAGAGGCCAAGTGCGGGAGGGACGTGCCCGGCACGGAAAGCCGCGTAGTAGGCACAGTGGTGAGGACGGGTTCGCGTCCGTGGCCTGCTGCTCCTTGGGGCGAAAAGGAGTCCGGCGAGAGCGGAGCTCCGGTTTGTACGGGACCGGCGGGCGTTGTAAAGAGATCGAGGGGGTCGAGAGGGGACGAGCAGGGTCCGCGAGCGTGAGAAGTGAGAAACTAGGAAGGCGGGAAGGGGAGGGTGGGTTCGAGTGAAGCCCGCCTCGGTTCGTTCGCTTCGCGCCAGTCGAGCTCGGCCGCTGTTCCCCCGGGAGACCGGGAGGGGCCCCACGTAGGGCGTTGGCGGGAGTAGGCAGCAGATTGTTGGGGCAGCCGCGAGGTCTCGGGCGTGCACTTCGAAAGCGGGGCGGGCCTACCTAGGGATGAGGGCCTCAGCTGGGAGAAGCCGTGTCAGTGTTTTGCTCGTGGCCACGGCATCCTCGACCTGCTGGACTCAGGTGATCCGTCTGCCTCAGCCTTCCAAGTAGCTGGAACCACAGGCATGCACCACCACGCCTGCTAGTTTTTGATTTATTGCAGAGAAGAGGTCTCACGATGTTGCTCCGGGTGGACTCAAACTCCTGAGCTCAGGCAATCACTCCTCTTGCTTCCGCCTCCCAAGTGCTGGGATTACAGGCATGAGCCACCAGGCCTGGTTTAGGGGCCTTTTAAAACTTCTTTTGGGAGTAGGTGGGGCAGGCATTCATGGGAGCTGAAGTCAGGGTGACGGACAGCAGGTGGATGGTGTGTCGGTCGCGTAGATGAGAAGGGCAGGTCTGGCAGCTGAAGACAAATTCTGTGGGAGATATTAATCTCAATGTCTTGTGACTTGCCTGGGGTTCCAGGAAAGGGTTATTGTGTCTGAGCTCAAGGAGGGCCCGAGAAACTCCATTTTGGGCTCTGTCCTTTGAAAAGTAGAAAAATGAAATAATGTTTGCTATGTATTTTAGAATATCTGTAGAAAGAACAGTAAGTGCTGAAAAGGTAAGGAAAGGTAAGGAAAGGTAGAACGGGAAGTAAATAAGTGTGTAATGTTTAATTGTGTGACTGAAAGAATTGATGAGATTAGCTGAAAGCTGGTGGTGGTGGTGGTCGTGGTAGTTTTCACGAGCCTGTTGGCCCCAAAATAAGCCTGCCCTTCATCTGTATGATGCAATTAGCAACAACTGCACTGGAGACCTTGGCAAGTAAACCTTTTCCAGAAAGGGTTATAAACTCAATCAGTCCCTCGCCTAAGGAAACCCCCTGAGTCGTTTTGTGCTAGAGAAGGAAGTATGCATCATAAGACCACCTGAAATTCCACTCTTCCCATAAACTTTATTAATGGCTGTGATGCAGGATCCTCAAGGAAACCCCCAGCTGAAGAACTGGCTAAGGAATCGTTTTGCTTTAGGAACAGGGACTGCAAGTGTGGCCATTGTTCTTGTAAAATCTGCACAAGGAAGAGTGACATGCTGACCCCTTGATTGATTTCCTTTTGTTTCCACACAAATTGTCTGTCCATGATTTCACCTAGAACGTGTTTGTTGGCATTCGCTTTGGAGAGAGGTCTTAGGTCTTTCAACTGTCATACAAAAATGTCTGATCTCCCCCCATTTTTTTGATGCTAAATCTTGGAAATGCCCCCCAAAAACTTTGTCGTGGGTCTCAGGCACCCCTTTCCTAGACCCTCTGAGTCACAATTTGGCTGTCTTGGCCTTTCCTTGACTGAAAGGAATGAGGATAATGTACAAATAGTCCTTGACATTGCCCTTAATGGGGAATAGGGAAGTGACTGGTTTGTTGGTGTCCTGGAAGTTCATACCATTACATTTATTAACAAGTAAATTTGGTGTAGTGTGTCTCTACCTTTGGCTGATTTTTCTAGGAGCCTTAGAAGCATCGATGGTGCTAACACACTTGGTGGTGATTCTTACTGGCAACCTCTTGTTTAACCTCTTAGTGTCCATTTTCTAAGACCATATTAATGCTGCAGCCTCAGGAGCTGAGACTGACCAGCTAATTAGCCGGTGCTTTCCTTTTTTTTCCTTGGCCTATCACTTGTTGCTATCGCTTCAGAGTTTTGAAGTCATACGGTCCTGAGAGTTAGTACCTTTTCCTCCACTCATGGCTCTGAAGCTGGAGTTTCTTAGCTTGTGCTTGCTCCGCCGCCAAGGGTTGAAGACAGAAAGCAGTGGGGTTCTTTGTGCCCAGTAGGTGCTCAGTGGG